AGAAAATCGAGACACAGCCAAGGTGAGATTTGTTGGGAAGAAGAGGCCAAGCATTGCAAGTAGAGGATGTACTCCTCGGCCAAAGCAAGAAGCGAAGAATCAGAGAACCATTGAAGGTTGAAGACGAAGTTCCTGAAGTCGAGTTTCTCAATAGTGTTCCAAAAGGAAACGATTTTCATTGAAGGAGAAGGGTTGAAATTAAGAAGCAATCTGGTATAGGTAATGTGATCAATGGTGCGAAAATGTCAGAGTTTTTAAATAGAAACTACCATGTCAGTGGCATTTTTAGAAAGAGATTTTAACAGGAAAATCAAGACACAAAAAAAGGGCCAAGCTGAAAGAGGGAAAGAGGTTCAAAGTACTTGAAGAGGTCAAAAACAAAATTAAAGCCATGTGCTACTGGAAAAGGAAGACGGTGGCAGTAGTTGTGGCACTTCTCTCTTAGCATCAGTAAATTTAAGGTTAAGGCTATAATGAGATAGATTTTCACTTGCATGCATGCTAATTTTAATTTTTACATCTTTATTCCACATAAATTATTTAACATGTACAATAAATATGAAATTATATCCCAAATATAAAATTATTTAACAACGCAAGCAAACAAACGCTTTGGGTTTTTATTCATGTAGATCACTTCCACTGATACGTCGAATTCCCCGACGATGAAACTGTGAATTGCTTGGCTTGAAACCAGATGTCCCCTCGAGAATTTCATGGACAATATTTTGTCTTCCAAATCAATGTTGCCCTTCAAAATCTCCCCCGTCATCAAAGCCATTTAGTTCTTTCAAAGATTACTTGCGACCTAAGTTTTGTCCCCTCGAAGATGTCATGAACAATGTCTCGTCTTCCAAATCAATGTTACCTTTTAGAATCTCTTCTTCGTCAGTGTCATTGGGTTCTTTTGAAGATTGATGGAAACCCAAGTTATGTTGAACTATATCGATAAATGCTACCTGACACACATCTTTCACAAAAACATGGATCATTCGTTTAAGCCCCTCTTTGTTCTTGACAAGAAAACATATCAGGATCTCTTAACGAACAAGTTTATTCATCTCTGGAAAATTGAGACACAACCATGGCGAGATTTGTTTGGGAAGAAGAGGCCAGGCATTGCAAATAGAAGATGAACTCCTCAGCCAAAGCAAGAAACGGAGAATCAGATAACCGTTGAAGGTTGAAGACGAAGTTCCTGAAGTCGAATTTCTCAAGAGCGTTCCAAAAGGCAACGATTTTCATCGAAGGAAAAAGGTTGAAATTACGAAGCAGTCTGGAATAGGAAACGCGATCAATGGTGTGAAAATGTCCAAGTTTTTTTACGGGAAACTACCAAGGCAATGGCTTTTTTAGATAGAGATTTTAATAGGAAAATCAAGAAACAAGAAAGGGGGCAAGATAAAAGAGGGAAATAGGTTCAAATTACTTGAAGAGATCAAAAAATTATGATCGTTAAACAAAAAATTAAAGCCATGTGTTGCTGGAAAAGGAAAGCGGTGGTAGTGGATGTGGCATTTCTCTCTTAACATCGGTAAATTTAAGGTTAAGGCCATAATTGGAGAGATTTTCACTTGCATGCATGTTAATTTTAATTTTTACATTTTTTGTCCACATAAATTATTAACATGTACAATAAATATGAAATTTTATCCAAAATATAAAATTATTTAACAAGGTAAGTGAACAAACGCTTTGGGTTTTTATCCATGTAGATCACTTCCACTGATACGCTTAATTCCCCAACGATGAAATCGTGAATTGCTTGGCTTGAAATCGGATGTCCCCTCGAGAATGTCATGGACAATATTTTGTCTTTCAAATCAACATTGCCCTTCAAAATCTCCCTGTCATCAGTGTCATTCGGTTCTTTCGAATATCACTTACGACCCAAGTTTTGTCCCCTCGAAGATGTCATGAACAATGTATCATCTCCCAAATCAATGTTACATTTTAGAATCTCTTCTTCGTCAACGCCATTGGGTTCTTTTGAAGATTGCTTGCATCCCAAGTTATGTTGAACTATATCAAGAAACGCTACCTGACACACATCTTTTACAAAATTATGGATCATTCGTTTAAGCCCTCCCTATTCTTGACAAGAAAACCCAACAGGATTTCCTGAGGAACAAGTATGTTCATCTGCGGGAAATCGAGATGTAGCCATGACGAGATTTGTTGGGAAGAAAATGTCATGCATTGCAAGCAGATGATGGACTGTTCGGCCAAAGCGTGAAGCAAAGAATCAGAGAATCGTTGGAGGTTGAAGACGAAGATCCTGAAGTCGAATTCCTCAACATTGTTACAAAAGAAAACGATTTTCATCAAAGGAGAAGGGTCGAAATTAGAAGCAGTCTTGCATAGGCAATACGATCAATGGTGTGAAAATCTCTGAGTTTTTGAAGGGAAACTGCCATGGTAGAGGCTTTTTTAGAGAGATAAATTAGCGGGAAAATCAAGAAACAAGAAAGTGGGCAAGCTGAAATAGGAGAAGAGGTTTAAAGTACTTAAAGTGATCAAAAAATTATGACTGTTAAACATAAAAATTAAAACCATGTGCTGCTGGAAAGGGAAGGCGGTGACGGTGGCAGTGGCACTTCTCTCTTAACGTTGGTAACTTTAAGGTTAAGGCCCTAATGGGAGAGATTTTCATTTGCATGCATGTTAATTTTAAGTTTTACATCTTCGGTCCACATGAATTATTTAACATGTACAAGAAATATGAAAGTCTATCCCAAATATGAAATTATTTAACAATGCAAACGAACAAACGCTTTAGGTTTTTATCCATGTAGATCACCTCCACCGATGCGCCAAATTCTTCGACAATGAAACTGCGGATTTCCTGGCTTGAAATTGAATGTCCCCTCGAGAATGTCATGAACAATGTTTTGTCTTCGAAATCAACGTTTCCCTTTGAAATCTCCCTGTCGTCAATGCCTTTCGGTTCTTTCAAAGATTAATTGCGACCCAAGTTTTGTCCGCTCGAGGGTTTCATGAACAATGAGTCATCTTCCAAATTAAAGTTACCTTTCAAAATCTCTTCTTCGTCAGCGCCACTAGGTTCTTATGAAGATTGCTTGCGACCCAAGTTAAGTTGAACTCTATCAAGAAATGCTACCTGACATGCTTTTCACAAAATCATGGATCATTTGTTTAAGCCCCTCCTTGTTCTTGACAAGAAAACCTAATAAGATTTATTGAAGAACAAGTTTGTTCATCTCTGGGATATCGAGACGGAGCCACGGTGAGATTTATTGGGAAGAAGAGGCCAAGCATTGCAAGCTGAGGATAGACTATTTTGCCAAAGCATGAAGCGAAGAATTGGAGAACCATTGGAGGTTGAAGACGAAGTTCCTGAAGACGAATTTCTCAAGAGTGTTCCAAAAGGTAACGATTTCATCGAATGATAAGGGTCGAAATTAGAAGCTTTCTGACATAGGGAATGCAATCAATGATGTGAAAATCTCAAGAGTTTTTGAAGGAAAACTGCCATGGCAGAGGTTTTTTTAGAGAGAAATTAGCAGGAAAATGAAGAAACAAGAAAGGGGCATGCTGAAAGAGGAGAATAGGTTTAAAGTACTTAAATAGATAAAAAAAATTGATAGTTAAACACAAAATTAAAGCCATGTGCTGCTGGGAAAGGAAGGCGGTGGCACTGGCAATGGCACTTCTCTCTTAACGTCAGTAAATTTAAGGTTGATGCTTTAATGGGAGAATTTTCACTTGCATGCATGTTAATTTTAATTTTTACATCTTTGGTCCACATGAATTATTTAACATGTACAAGAAATATGAAATTCTATCCCATATATGGATTTAATTTTATTTAACTCTAGGTTTATTTTTAATAAATAAAAAATTAAATGGTAAAACTATGCGAGCCTAATTTTGATCCAACTTACGGACATATACCACCATTGGGAAAAAACAATATGGTTAAAAGTTTTGAATTAATGAAAATTTTTTATTATATTTTTAGTATAGAAGAAAAATCAGATCAATCAAGATTTTATGGGAAATGATAAATACAAGGGTAATTACACGTTTAATATTTCGACTATTACTTTTATTCCATTTTGGTCATATAACTATTTTTTGTTTTAAAATCATAGCTAACGTTACAATTTGGTTTCATTTTGATCATCCACCATTAAAAAATCAACAATGATGCTAATGTATCATTATAAGGTAATATGATGGTATCATTGCATTTTTTTTAAAAATGTCACATCAAAAATTATGTTAATTTTTTAACAATGAGTGACCATTATAGAACTAAAACGTAACATTAAGTATAATTTTTTAAAAAAATAATTTGGTTTCCAAAATGGAACAAAAGTGATATTTGAGATATTAAATGTGTAGTTTACCCTAAATATAAAGCTTAAAGAGTACCTTAGTTGTCAAACTCCCACCAAAAGAATTAATCAAGTCTCTATAAAAATTACATTTGAATAGTCTTTTACTTTAATAAACTCATTAATATCATTTTTGAACCGACCAAAATTACCATTGATTGTTATTGTGTACTGATAAAGCAATTCATAATATTGATCTGATCCATGATATTGACAAAATAATACATAATAACAATGTGATAACCTACATTTGAGTGATGATGTTACAAAATGACTTCAATAAATTTTGGGTATCTCAGGGCTTGATTTTGAGATCTCATTTGAATATTTTTAGGTTTTGGGTTGATGTTGAATTGGGTTCGAATTTGAGTCTAAAGCCGATGACAACCATAATTATATAGAGTTGATAAAAATGAAATTCGACATGATTATAGAAATACACCAATGCAAACTTTTTCCTTGGTACACATTGTTTTGCTTTAAAAAAGCTCCAGATTTCAAGCTGGACTGTTTTCCCCATTGTTTATCTTTGTTATACAAGGAATAATTTACTAGATCATTGGAAGTTACCAAAGTAAAATTTTCCAAGATCAGTTTTACTCCATATAATAGGTCCATAAAATACTAAAATTAATTAAAAGGGAAATGGCAGGGGCCAAATCAAGGAAGGCAAAGTAGGCAATCCCTAACAGGAGCTACACAAATTGACACTTAAAAAGTCCAATTGGAAATTTGATCAGACAGATAAAACATCAAACAAAAGAACTTTGAATATCTTTTGTTGTTTAGATATGCCAGAATTCAGGGATTTTCAAACCTTCCAACGTTTGTTAGTTGTGGCGTGAACGTACAATTGATCACATCTGTTAGCAGGAAAAAGAAAAAGAAGGAAAGAATGGTTAGGCAAACCTTTTGGCCTCCGTTATTCAGAACCGGGCGGGACGTTTGTGTGGGTGTATTTTGTGCAGTCGAACGGTCCTACTCCTTGGTTGTTTTTCTTTCTCACCTGAGAACCGCATTAGTTTTTGCCATTAGTTTTACACTACAAGGGAAAGATTTAGGTCCCCGGAACATATTTACAAGGGAAAGATTTGGTCACCCATCTATTACTTAGTTTCTGTTTCAGTCACCGACATGTTATTTTTCTAAAAATCATACCTAACATTACATTTTGGTTTTGTTTTGATCACCCGTCTTTAAAAAATCAACGGTGATGCTAACGTGGCAATGCTGATGTGGCATTACCTTATGATGACACATTAGCATCAATGTTAGTTTTTTAACGGTGGGTGACTAAAATAGAACAAAAAACGTAACGTCAGATGTGATTTTGAAAAGAATATTAGTTGAAAAACCAAGACAGAAACTGAGTGACCAAATAGGTAGTTTACCCTATTTATTACTGCTGAACCGATTAAAATGACCTTGACATCCTTTATTTTTCCCAGAACATATCTATGAAAAATGACTCGTACAATATTTTATTAACTGCTGAACCAATCTCAAAATCATCGGTTGATATGAGTTGGTAACACATCTCCTATATCTACTCCATTAGCAACAATATCATTTTAATCATGATGCTTATACAGCATACAAGGAAAAATAAAGCATGTCAAGGTCAAGTTTAAACTCTTAGCTCCAAATTGGTTAAGTGTCAATTTCAAATATAGTCATTAAAAAAAAGGGATAGCACTGAATAGCATTTGTAATCTATTAAAGGAAGTTGAACTGTACCGGGGACCATGGACCAGGCTCTGGCAGAGATTTGTCCGTGGGCGAATTTTGTACAGCACCACTTTTCATTGTTAGAATCTCCTGAGTGACACAAGAGACATCATTAGATATGGCTAAACACAATATTAAAAACTCCCTTCCGCTATTAACTGACTTTCCGATCAAAGCTAGGTATGGACATTTTATTTGTTTTGAGTTTACAGTTTAAGTAAATTTGTTTAGCTATTAAACTGACTGCTTGATAGTTCTCTTGATCATGATACTTCATGAAGAAAGCAATTTCATGACTTCAACCTCACGAAATAAAAGGAAAAGGAATATGATAAGATTACCTCTCCAGCATCTTCAAAGGCAGCTAACCATTCATCTGAAAATGGAACAGCGTTCAAAGGGGGCTTTACTAAAGGAGCAACTTGCCTTTTGTCATTGCTAGTTTCCTCACTGCCATCAAACAAGCCACACTTTAGCATCTTTATGAAACAAAGCATAGGGAAAAATGAGGATAGAGATTGGTCAAAGTAGGATGCTTACACCAAAGATGTACAACCCGTAGCTTCTACATGGGTCATTGAACTGTTTAATTCCTGTGACAAATCATTCTCCAATCTGTCGACTTCTTCCTGTAAGAAAATTCCATCTGAAGATATGTGATTTCTTTTGATTGAGGAGGTTGATTCCTCATTTAAAGAGCAAAATGCTTGAGACTTGCAGGTATTTTCTGCCCCAGAAACTTTATCTTCGCTCAGTGAAGAAAGCTCAACATTTGAAGAAGTTACTTGGTCACTTTGTTCTGTGTCTTGCATGATCACATCATTACAACCATCATGGTTGTTATCTGACAGATTAATCTTGACATAACTAGATGATTCCTCAGTAACAGACCATCTGAATTCACCTGGCTCTGGCATAACAGTGACATCATTTTGAAGCTCTTGAGGTTTATTTAAATTCTCGACTACCGCAAAATTGTTATTTTCGGCTGAAGAGAAAAGGATAATTTTGCAGCTATCAAATGAAATACCATCATTGAAGTACTGCGAGGATGCATCTTTTCTGAAAGATCCATCAGTCGTCTCATTATCTCCAGCAGCACACTTGTCACTTGGTGCAACTGTTCGCACCTTAGACAGATCAGAAGAACCTTCCACTGCCTGTATAAAACATTTCTTTCTGGGACTCACATGTGCACAATTGTCGGTATCAAATTTGTGGGTCTCTCTCTCCGCAGAGAAAAGGTCATGACATGCCTCTAGAATCGGATTATCTACGAAGGTGTTACCAGCATCAAGGGAGGAACTAGTAAGCACGCCAGGTGCATTAAAATGAAAAGAAATGATCTTGTCTCCTGGCTCTGAAATGGCATCTACTAGGCCCAGGGGGGATATTGAATGAGAATCATCCATCTCTCTGGCATCCAGATTGCCACTTCTTTGAAAGTCATTGCGGACACTAATATCACAAGCAGTTATTGCTCCAGTTACTTGGTCTTCCTCGATCCTTTCTAATCCCTTAGATGAAGTAGCTGCTTCACAAAGGAGCTCAATGTCATGGTTGCACTGTGTATCAGTAGAAACCGAAGCCTCGTTCTCTGCATTTAAACACTCAACCACGTCAGCCATCTCATTAACACAACTTTGTAGTGCGGGTGGAATCCTAGATGGAGCACTGGAATTTTCTATATCACTCTGACAGGCAACATTGTCAGAAGAGAAGATTTCTCCATGTAATAGGCAATCAGTTGAATGTGATCGATAATCATCCTGGAAAAGTGTCTCTACTACAATGCACGGATCAGGAAGTGGTGGCTGTTCAACTAGCATTTCATACACACCATTTACATGTGCATGCAGATTATCCGCTTCTGAAGCATTCAGAAGATAACTGCTACTTTCAAGACATAAATTACATTCAAGAGATTGCTTTTGTGCATCTGCAACATGTGATTGATGATTCAAATCAATATCCCCAACAGTGCCATCTTTTCCTTGAATTCTGTCTCCATAATGCAATAGACCATGGGTCCTTTTCAAATCACTAGCATTGCAATCACTAATATTTGGACTCATAACTTTACTCGCCACACTGTTGAAACCAAGAAATGCTTCTGAAGGCTCACCCTCCTTGAGCAAGGCATCATCATTAATATGATGTATCTGAATCTCATTAGCTTTTTGATCATCTTCAAAGGTGCAAGGTTTTACATGTTCATTTTCAGCTGATTTGCTTGAATTTTCATAGCTATCATGACTGCTTATCTGGTCAATGTTTACTATTGGAGAATCATGTATGTTACTACTATTCATGTCGCAAGAATGCAACTGTGGAAGGAGATCAAAATCTTCAGTCAATGAATTATTTTGTACATTTCCTGAAATTTTGTTGCCAGCATCATCAGCCTTCAAGCCATTTTTTACCTCCAGGCCATGGTGAGAGACAAAATGGGGATCTTTGAATTCACCGCTGATGTGATTCGTACTTCTAGGGATGGCAAGATTTTCCCTCTTCCAATCTAATTCCACTTGTTCGGAGGATTGACTTTGCAAGAGTAACTTGTTATCACTACACTGATATTCCACATGCTCAGTTTCCCACTTAAAACTGCCGTCAATGGTGTGCAATTGCTGCTGATTATTATTTAATTCATGATTGTAAGAATTACAAGAAACCTTCACTTCCACCCTCTGCATTTTAGTATCTCTTGAATTTGGTCTGGCACCTTTGCATAATGAACTAGCACTTGATGGAACAGAGGGTTTTGTGCTTGGAGTCCTCAAATTTTCAATTGCTGCTACAGCACTGGCCACTACATGTACATTCTTAGATGGAGTGGGGATCTCAAAAGCAGAATTTAAGACACCAAGCTTTGACAAATTAGGATTATTAGGTTTTGGGATATTGCATGTTTGAGTGCTGCTTTGTATATCACGTGAAGCATTAGTCTTTGACTGCAAATGAAATCAATAGTCAATAAGAGAAAGGGGAGAACCCCCACTGATGCTTCTAAAAGTTCCTGAGTACATCAAAATTTACCGTCTACATAAGCAAGGTTGACATACCTGAGTAAAAAATCCTAATGATGGCGAAGGCATCCGTAAGCCAGATGGTTTTGTCATTTGTGGCTGTGAATATTGAGTGTTTCCACCAATATGGGAATGACTTTGAGGAAGGGAAGCAATTTTGTTGGCAACAGCTTCATGATTAATAGATCCATGACCAGAAGCCACAACAGGATCTTGGTTGACCTTTAAGCCATTATCTGGCTTGGTAACTAATGAATGATGTGATTGCGTTGATGAATGACTTGCCAATGCTGAGCTTTTCTGTATAGAGAAAAAGATATATGGAAGATAAGAAGTAAGTTTTTCTTAGTTTCAAAAGGAACACAAAACTGTTAATCATCATTTAATTCCCAGAATTTTTCATAAACAATGACATCTAAAAGCTTTAGTCTCACCACATTTCTTTTAGGCTGTATAGCAGACAATTTGTTAATTTGAGATCTCCTGAAAAGACTAGATTTTGCATTATTTTGAGAACTTCTAGTACTTTTGTTGGAACCTGTCAACCCAATGCTTCTGTGGGCACTGATCTCTGTATGAGAAAAGGAACCACATAGAAACAAATGTATGAAGTTTCCTCTTATACGATTGTGAGATTTGACAAAAAAATTTATGTATACCTATGAAAATACAATAGCGGGTGAGGAAGAAACAAAGATAAACATGATACAAAACTGTGCTAAACCATCAAATGTAGGTTAAACCCAAAAAAATTAATTTAACATAAAAATACAAGAAAAAGGGAGTTAGTCCAAAGAACAATTATATTCCCTGTTACCTGCTTGAAGACTTTGATTTCTCTTTGGCTTGTTTAAGTTCGGAGAACTCCTGGCAGTCGAGGAACCAGACTTTGGAACAGGTAATTTAGAAATTTTTGGTTCCTTAACAGTTGTTTTTGTTGTGCTTACATTTGCAGGTCTTTTATGAGTGATGAAAAGTCAAGGTACAATCTTCAATAAATCCGAACAAATAAAGAAAATAAGCATTCATATGAAAAACCACTACTTAACAATTGAATAAAACCATAACAAGGAAGGATATGCAGAAGACATCACAGGCCTTGGACATCCGCTACGCTTAGAACCACTTCTATTTACGTCATGAACTGAAAGCACATTTTGTTTCACCTGTCGAGATTCATATTTAACATAACTAAAAATTGCTTTCATCTCACAAAGAAAGAAATTAGAGCAACTTTTATAGGCATATATATTGAAGAAGACCTAACTAACCATGGAACGAGAGGCCGAACCAGAACTCTTCTGCCGTAGGCTACTAACAGCTTTCTTCTTTGCCTCTTTCGAATTACTATGATTGCATGGCAACTCTTTAAACAAATTATTTTCAAGTGCCTGCAAATCCGATGAATCACTGGATAATGACTCTCCCGGCTCTTCTTCTATAGCCAACAATTTCTCACTACTCAACTTACTAGAATTCCCACTAATCAAAGATAATTCAGTTGAATTCAAAACACCTAATGCAAAGAAAACAAATTACATAAAGAAAATTAACTTCACTCTTTCAATTAACGAACCCATACAAAAACAAAGTAAGAAAAGTCGGAGTACCTTCTTCAGTGAAGAAAGCGCGATCCCAAGCTAAACTTTTTCTCAAATTGTAACCTCCGCCTTGCTTTTTCCTCTTCATTCTCTGTGGTTCTAAACTTAACTTCTGAAGTTCAGATTTATGCTCAGTATTGTCAATATTCTCTTTACTAACGTGGGAAGAAAAGGAGGCAGGGTTTTTCGCTTTCACATCTGCAAAATGCAAAAGCAGGGTGATTGAAATTCAGATCGAAATCCACCGACAGAAAAGAGTGAACGAACACTAGGGAAAAAGAAGCATAGAAAACAGGAGGAAGTGACCTGTGGGATTAGATGTAGGGAAATGGAGAGGGGAGCAAGAGAAAAAAGAAAGATCAAAGGTGGAAACGGCGTCGGTTAGGGTTTTCCTCGGAGATCTTAAATAGATGGCTTTCCATTACTGTCAATTAGGGAATGTAAAGATTGGGAGTTAAAAAAAAGTTGAAGTTTTCAACTGAAATTCTCCATTACTGTCGAATTTCAAACGAAGAATTTTGGATTTTTTTTTTGAGTAAATTTTTGAATGGCGAGCGGGAAGGGGGATGATGACAGAAGATCACGTTACTGGGCTTATGTTAAATGACGTAAATACCCATACATGTTAACGGCCCAGCCCACTTTTATCAAATGGGTTGCAATACTTCAAATAGGACCCGAGTTTTATATTTATTTGGCTTAATGCTAAAATAAATGTCAGATCTATCGTTTTTCATAAGTACGTGTCTAAAGTATTTTTTAACTCATTCTGGTATCGAGCATTACAAGCGTTATCATTTTAGGTGTTCGGGCTGTCAACAGTGTTAATTTTCCTCGTTAGTGATAATTTGATAATTTTAAAAATTTTATTTAAAATTAAAAAAATTAAAATTATATTTTAAAAATAAATATTTTTTAAATAACCCAAAAACTTTAAAAACCTTCATTTCAACCCCTGAATCCACGCCTACCGGCGACAAAGCTCCACCTGACCTCACCTCCCCTCAGCGACCAAAATCCCTATGAAATCGTGACCGGCAAATCGATGATTTATACCTTGTAAATCATAGGATGAAAATCGCGATCACATACGATTTTGACAGCCAATCAACGACAACTACAGTTACGTATGACTAGTAGGATGGCAAAGACTACATCGACGGTGGTGGGTTAAGGTTAGAATTTGAGGGTTTTGGGGCTTTTTTATAATTTAAGAGAAATTACTATTTTTTATAAATATAATAATATTTTAAAAAAAAAATTCAATAACACCATATTGCAACATGTGTCACTTAACGGAGGAAATCAACACCGTTCAGAGCCCTGCCACTTAAAAGTGATATTGTCTGTAACATTAGACAATGTGATCATTCAAAAAATAGTTTAAACACTATTCCTGAAAAGTGTTATTATTTAGACATTTATTTTATAATTAATTATTATTTATTTTATAAACTAAAGTTTATTAATCGGTGAGCAAATGATTAAGGGTGTGTTTGTTTGTCGTAAAATGAATTATGAAATTGATTTTTCCCGAAATCCTGTGTTTGTTTCATGTAATTCGTTTTTTGGAAAATGTTTTCCCGTGTTTGTTTCACGTAATTTGTTTTCTGGAAAATGTTTTCTAATGTTTAGTTGGAGGAAAATTGATTGGTCAACGTAATTCATTTTCCTGGTCAACAAAATTTCCTTTATGTTTTCTGGAAAATAACTTACGGTCTGATTTTTCGTAAGTCATTTTCCGAACTTTTCACTTCAAATAATAAATACTCAAACTAATTTTATTTTATGAATTTAATATTAATAAAATATTTTAATATAATTTTCATCTAAATATTAATTATTAAAATATTTAAAATATATTTATTAATATTTATAATAATATTATATTATATTTTTAATATTATAATAAAATAATCAATTATATTATAATAATATAAGATATTATATTTTTAATAAATATATAATAAATTTTTTATATATTTTAATAATGAATAATATTATTTATATATTTAATAATAATCTAATAATATTTTAATTAAAATATTTAAAATATACTAATTAATTTTTTTAAAATATAATATAACACTATTACTTTAATAAATAATTAATATAATTTATAATATTTTTATTTCACTAAAATATACCGATATTAATTTTTTTATTAATAAAATTATAAAAAATAATATTTAATAATAAATAAATTATTTTAATATTTTAAAATTATAATATTAAATTTTATGATAAATAATATTATTTATTGTATTTAATATTTGTAATAAATAATTTTAAAAATACTCATCAACTAGTGGAAAAAAATGTTTAAATAACATCTTCTAAACATCGTAAAATATTTTCCAGAAAAATGTAAATTCATTTTACGGAAAACATTTTTCGAAAAGCATTTTCCAGAAATTAAATTTATTTTCCAGAATTCAAATTCTAGTAATTCATTTTCTAGTAATTCAAATTCCAGTAATTCATTTTCCAAAAAAAACCAAATTCAACCAAACAAACATATCCTAAGAAAGATTTGCTTTCAAAAGGGTAAGTAATTAATATTACTTGAAACCAAAACAGAATCTTGATTAACAGTAAAAAGTATAATAAAAATTTTAATTAATCACATTAGTATCTGATCTATTAACTGACTAATTCATATCGAGTACTGATTAATTCATATCGAGTACTACAGAGGTGAGGAAGACCCTCCCAACCAATTTGCTCTATTCAAAAATATCAAGATTCGAACATCTAAACTTGATTAAGGGAACTAATATATTATCCACTAGAACAGGTAAAAAATAATAATCTTTAATAAGTATGTCAGTAACATTAATTGCTTTGACCTTGTCGGTTTTAAAAACCTACATCTAGGCCAGTAATATTTTGCAAGACAAAATTGTCTCTTCCTTCTCTTTTCCTCGTTGAATTTCGCTCTCTTTGTTTCGTTGCCTTCAAGCTTCAACAGAACATCACCAGGTATAAATAAATTAATAGACAAAACAAGTCTTTGTTATTGTATATGTAAATGTTTTGTCTGAATATTCAGTTCTACTCCATAAGTAGTAATATTCTTTGTGTTCTTTCTTCGTCTTTTTCTTTGATTTCAGATTGACCCTCAAATTTCATATGAATTCATGCAAACATCTTTTAAGTTTCTGTAATTGTTTTGGATTCTCGGGGTGAATTGTAATTTATAATAATAATAATAATGCAGGAGATGGGGAAGCCTTCAAAAAGACGGGCAGAGCCAAAACCAGAAGAAGCAGTTGAGTGTCCGAGATGTGAGTCCAGCAACACCAAGTGTTGTTATTACAACAACAACAGCCTGTCTCAGCCAAGGTATCTGTGCAAGGCTTGTCGGAGGCATTGGACCAAAGGTGCACTCTCCGGAATGTTACGGTGGGAGGCGGCTGTCGGGAAAACAAGAAATCTTCTTCTCCTTATTCTTCTTCAACATCATCAAAGAAGATCAAAGATCAAACATTGACACAACTAAATACCAAACCTCTGATCAATACCCATCACGATCACATTGACACCACCGATGATCTCAGACAACGATACGACCACCATGATTCCGACCACCTTTCTTGCTTTGGAAACCCTAGCCATGACGTTGCTGGTTCAGTTGCCGACCTTCTCTTCCTTGGAAACTTCGACGATTTTCAGGGTTTTTGGAATGACACCTTCGGTGAAAATGGGGATCCGAGCGTGGGTTTTAATGGGGAAACCATGATGCTTTACAATAACGAAGATATGAGTGGTTCGACATCGACGACGACAACGACGATAACATCGGATGTAGGCGCGGTTGCGACGATGAAACAAGACGGCCCTGAGAATGGATCGGACTTATGGAGTTTGCCGTGGCAACTCATTGAAGATGCCGGTGCCGGTGGTAATAATAACCACAACGCCATGGCGGTGGGTTTTGATCTTGATTCAGTAACAGATAACTGGCATGACTTCTTTCATAGTATTTGAGTTTTGAATCTTAAATTTGAACTATTACCCATTTCCCCCTTTTATCCAAGTCAAGGCAATTAAATATAATATTTTGATTCCCAAATCTCAGTTTTGGAAAAAAGAATGATGTTTGAAAATTACTTGGTGTTTAGCATATATATTCCAGAAACATTTTTAAAATAAAACACAAATATTTATAAATAATAAAAAAAAATTATATGGAGCAAATACGAATAAAATATTAGGATAAACATCATAAATAAAATCAAATATTAACATGAAAATAAAATTGAACTTCAAGATATATATGTATCTACTTTAACTTACACATAAATCCGCTACTGACTTTGAGACATAATATTTATGTAACTTCAATTACGCCTTTTAGCATTAAATGTCTCGTTTTTCAATTTATTCTCTCGACTTTGCATGATTTCATCATTTCTTATTTTGTTTTAATTTCGTTTTTGAGTAAATTTGCACCATATTCTCATCTACCACTATAGAATACATATAATTCATTTTTTTAAATAACAAGTTTTCTTTTTTAAAATATAGCCCACCAACTTTATATTTTATTCAATATGGCCTTTCAATCATATTGATTTACAAATTCTTACGTCCTATCAATTTCTTGACTCATTTGTACTCTCATTAATACTATATCCTGAGATTCATTCTTTAAAAAATGGCATTATAAATATATCTTATCATTTTAGATGATATTTAATTTATTTTTTAACATTACAATATGAAAATAAATATAAATATATATATGTATATTATAGTTAAAAGTATGGTTTAAATTTATTAAATTAGGACCGATTAGTTGAAAACTTCAAATTATAGAACAAACGATAGATATATTTAAGCTTTAACATGGTCCTTCATGTGTACACTATACCTGTTTATGTGACTATTTGTACTAGGTTGGTCCAAAAATTATTTAATATCATTGCCCAGGTCTGTTTTCGGCTCAGTCCAGCCTGCCAGCTTGATTCCACTTTCAATGAAATATATTAAAAAATATAATAATTAAATATAAATAAATAATAATATGGGCCAGCTCAAACCAGCCAATCCGATATCAACAGTTATTTGTCTAAGTCTGGCCCATACTAAACCGGATGAATAATTGGTAAAATCGGCCCAATACCATAGGCGGACTAATTATTTAGCCCAATACGACACCAGATATTTTATTTTTGGAACCACGAAATTTGTTATAGTGACCATGACGAGTTTCCATAAAATATATATTTTATTGAAACTAATCAATCTAATGTGACAAAATTCTAATAAAAATTATATTTTTTTAGAATTTGTCACCTCAACGTGACGAATTTGAATAAAAATATTATTTAAAAAAAATCATTAAGTAGACATGGCGGGTTTATCATACACTGTAATACTTAGCGTAAACTCCAAATTAATTTTGAAAGTAACCTAATCAGCCAGATGAATATTATCGTATTGTATGATGGAGGGGAAGAAACAAGCAAAATATCCTCTCTTTTAAAGAGTAAATGGAAGTCGTTTTCAGAATTTAAAGGCACAAGTAGGTTGATTTTTTTTCTTCTTTTTGATTAAAAGTAGGTTTATTTTAGTCATCTATCATGGGGCATACCCTTTGACCTGCCCTTTTAAGAACAATAGGGATAACGTCTCAAAAAGTCTTAAACCCTTTAATTTAATATAACGACCCTCATTAAAGGGTTAGACTAGAAACAATACCACTTTAAATTTAATTTAATTGATCCATGCAATTTTTTATTTATTTATGATAATTTATGGTATCTAGAAACACAGGTTTGTCAAACGGGCAACGGTGGTGTGTGAATGACCATTTCTGTCGACTTGACTGCTCTTCAGCCACTTCCAGGACTTCTAAAGCTGCTTTTTTTATATATATATATATTTGATTAAATAATTATTTTGACTCGTATTTCTTTAACGTTTTAGCCTTTCAACATCTTATTTGGAGGAAAGCTTATATTTTTATAGCGTTAACCGTTTGTTGATCAACAATTTCCATCCACGGAAGTACATTTTTGCTCCAAATAAAACGTTAAGATCAAAATACTTCAAAAAAACGAGTCAAATAACGAAAATAACGATTGTTTACATAACTTAATGTAAAATATAATAATTTTAGTCGTCTTAACAAATTGCGAAAATAACTAATGTTATCGCAATCTTTTTTAAAGGTTGCATTTAGCTGTAGTAGTAGTAGTATGTGTTTCATTGATTGCGTGGGAAAAACTTGACGAAACCAAGACCCCGCTGCCCTAAACCGTGTGGGCCTTTTCACCTGTTTAATGACCACAAATTATGACCGATCGGCCGAGTTGAGACGTGGGATATGAATATGTTGAAAGCCATGTGAAAGGGTTCATGAGGTTTCCACTAGTTTTTGTTGGGGGTTGATTTCACGAGAGCCATGCACCATTTATTCGGTGCACATAAGTTAGGTTAAGGGATGGATCGAGGAGTGTCGGAGCACAGTCTTATTTTTTAAAAAATTAAAAATTATGTATAATTTAAGTGTTTTTCATTGATGATTTAGTTTCGCAATAATACAATTTTATGATATTTTATTATTTAAATTTCTGATATAAATTATTGAATTCGCATCATCCGACATCAAATATTACGTAGGTCCTACTTGAATTTGTCATCAATGTAGGGAAAGCTTTTTTCAAGTATAAAAGAACAAATGGTTTTGGTTATGCATCCAATATTTCAATTTGAACCCTTTTGGGTATGATTGACTAATTTACTTAATTTGTTCCTCGTAAATAAAAGGTATAATATCAAAAATAACTCACAATGTTTCTAAAATGGTCATTTTGTCTCGTATTCTATTTTTTGGAGCATTTTGGTCCCAACGTGTCATTTTAAGGAAAAAAGACACCTAACATTTGATAGAATAATCACTTTGTTCCTTATTTTTTTTTCTAGAATATTTTAGTCCTTAACGTTTCATAACAATTTTCATCTATAGAGGGAGCTTTTTGCTCCAAAATAAAACAATGGGGCCAAAATGCTCCAAAAAAAGAACAAGGATCAAAATGATCATTATGGTAAATGTTGGGGGCTATTTTTAGCATTATGCCTAAATAAAACCAAAATCAAAGGTACACGCGGAGAAAGCCTCTTTGAAGACACTAGTGGAGAAGAGAAATGTCAAGAATATTGGCCAGTCCTAACCTTCTTCACACCACAACGTTAAAATGTCGAATATAATTCTTCTGATATATAAATTGTATAAATTAAAATTTAGGATAAACTACGCATTATTACCTAATTATTGGATTTAGTATGTTTTAGTACCTAAACTTTCAATTTTTTCAAAATCATATCTAAAGTTTAATTTTTGTTTCATTCTAGTACCCACATTCAAATTTTAACGTTAATTTTTTAAAACAATTGAAAGTTTAGGTGTTAAAACGGATCAAAACGGATAGTTTACGTACTAAACGCGTAAAGTTTTAACGGTGTGGTATTAAAATGAAACAAGAACTCGACATTAGGTATGATTTTTAAAAAAAATTTAAAAGTTTAAGTACTAAAACGGACTAAAACTAATAGTTTAGATACTAAATACATAGTTTATCCCAAAATTTATATAGCATTATGAGTTTGTGTAGGCGGTGGCAACAGCAACCCTAATTATGAATTAAACTCTCAGCTGCCATTGTTTTCAATGTTTTGTGTGCGTGTCCTCCGGGCATCAAGAAGTAGTAATGTGTGGACCACTAGGGTTTCCTTATTCATATTAATTATATATATAATAAAAATTATTTAAAAATCTAAATTAATTCATTAACATGATGAGATTTGACATTACAATTGTAAATCATTTCATAAAGAAAATTCTAAAGAAGAAAAGGAAAAAAAAGGATTTCATTGAAGAGGGTTTTCATGTGGAAAAATGAATGTGAAAGGAATGAGATGATATCTTATTAAAGGTATTTGGATCCATTGTTTTTTTTTTCCCTTCTAATTCTCATGTCATTCCAATAGATCCTTTTAATAAATTATGAAAATGTTGGGCAATATTCATTCCCAATAATATAACTAATTCGACCGATATTCGATCAACCAATTGATCTAATGGAATGAGATATCGTATCTCTCAAGTAATTTTAAGGGTTTGAATTCTAATATTATGTAAGGTACAAACTGGATCGAAAGTCATATGGGGTGAGACACTAGATCTTTTAAGCAAAGTCATGGGTTCATATTCTAATATTATGAATGGTACAAAATGAGTTGAAAAAGTCACTCCATAATAAATTAATCAACCAACAAATTAAAAAAAAATACATGTTTTTATGGTTGTATTTGATTTTATTTTTCTGGTGGCTAATTATTTAATTGTGTTGTTCATCTAAAAACCCTAGTCGCTCTCTCCTTCCCCATCCGCTTTACCACTCGCTTTTTTTTTGAGTTTGCGTCCTTTTATATAGATCAGATATTTTTTTTTATTTGTTTAGATAGCGACGACACTAGTTTTGATGTTGGTTATCGATTGTCGGTTATCTTTTCTCTTTGTTTTTTTTAATTTTTTAATAAGAATAATTTTACCTTTGTGGTACATTTAGCTCCGCCTTTTTGGCACATTTTTCATTTTTTTCTCAATCATTTGGCCGTTCTTTTATTTTTATTTTCTCAGGGTTAGATTTGACGACGTCACGATTGATCAAGATGATGCTTATTTGAAATCTTGTTGATCTTTCCTGTTATGGGCTTTTGGATTGAATTTAGATACACAATTTTGCGTTCATAGATAATTTCTCACGACGGTCGGCTCTGATTTGCGATTTTCGGTTGTCTTTTAATAGCTTAATTTTCTTTTGTGGCTCATTTGCCAATGCAAATCAGATTTATTCACATATAATTTTGTTCGAGTTTTTTTGAATTAGTTTTTTTTAACTTTTTCCATGTACGTTCCTTATATGATCTAAAATGATTGTTGTAAAATCTTATTGTAATTTTGAATATTTTCACCTTTTAATAATACTAGCGGCTTCTATTTTAAAAATTAAATTAAAAAATAATATAACCCACTCAAATTATCCAAAACTCCCAATCTTATCCAAAGGAAGGTTTTCTATTAAAGGAAAAATAAAAGAATTATTATTTTGAATCCATACTATACCATTAGTGGGTTATTGGTTGTGTTTAAAATAATAATTGATATTATTATTATGATATTTTATTTCTTTTAACGAATTCATATTTAATATAATTTAAATACAAATTATTTGTTATTTAATTTATTTATTAGATAAATTCTTGAAAATATATATGTTACCAATAATATAAATGTGATAAAATCATAATATCTTAATTTTTAAAATTACAATGTTACATAATTTTTAACATACTAAATAGTTTTAGTGGTAAAAGAAATATTATTCCTTTTAAAAGATTCGAATTACTATAACTACAAAAAATATATATATATATACTACATTTTTTTATAAATATATATTTAGTACGTTATAATCATCTATACCATTTAAAAATAAGATAAACTCACATTTAGTATCTAAACTATCAGCTTTTAGTCTATTTTACTATCTAAACTTTTAATTTTTTCAAAACCATACCTAATGTTTAGTTTTTCTTTCATTTTAGTACCCCTCAACCACTCCTACTTTTTGCAAAGCAATTTTATTTTCCGTTTATCAATGGGAAAAGCCAAAAGAAAATGTAAAGTCATAAACCTAACGAAACTAATTGAAGAATTTGGCAAATGAGCAAAAGTCTAAGAAAGAGATGTTTGAACAAATGATGTCATGTTTCATACTATATGGTATCACTCTTCTTGTATAAATACAACGCCCTTCCTATGCACAAACTAACAAACAAACCACATCATCATCATCATCATGACCCATCTCTCCTTGTTCCCTAAAAACACCATGTTTAAGATGGAACACAGTGAAGTAGCAGCAACTCTTCCGGCTGCTCAATCTCTTTCGAGTTCGTCGTCTTCTCCTCCGGCGGTCGTTATCAGCCCTTGTGCCGCTTGCAAGATTTTGAGGCGCAGGTGCGCTGACAAATGTGTGTTGGCACCTTATTTTCCTCCGACGGAACCGATCAAGTTCGCCATAGCTCATCGGGTCTTTGGTGCCAGCAACATTATCAAGTTCTTGCAGGTATAGTGTTTTTTGTTCAGTCTTCCTTGCAAACTCACATTGACATTTACTCGTATCTCTTTGTGAACATCGAGTGTGTGAAATGGTAAAACGGTTGCTTTGGGTTCATGGCGTTGACATATGTGGTCATATATATTAGGGTGACCTACGCGTTTAGTACATATACTATCAGTTTTGGTCCCTTTTAGTACCTAAACTTTTAATTTTTTTAAAACATAACGTTAAATTTTGAATGGGATACTAAAACGAAACAAAAATCAAAGTTTTTAACGGTAAAAAAAACAAAAATCAAAGTTTTTAATGGTAGTATACTAAAATGAAATAAAAACTAAACTTTAGGTATGATTTTGAAAAAATTGAAAGTTTAGGTACTAAAATGGATCAAAATTGATAATTTAGGTACTAAATGTGGTACATTTTTAACGGTAAGATTCTAAAATGAAAACTAAATGTTAAATATAGTTTTTAAAAAATTGAAAGTTTAGATATTAAAACAAACTAAAATTAATAGTTTAGACACTAAATATATAGTTTACCCTATATTAACAATGGGTTTTCTCATGTTTTGGGTTCTTACTGCGTTAAACAACATTTTATGATTTTTATCGACATAGTCAAAGACATTGCATGCGGAAAGGACACGCGGATCGCCGTTTCATCGAATCCAACCGGTTCAGTTCGATCCGATCCGATTGGATCAATTTTTTATTTTAAAATTTTAAGTACAACTCCTTAGGGCCGGAGTCGCCTAATAAAATTTACATATTCAATATAATTTTGGTTTAATAGTATTTTAGCTCATGTAAAAATAAATATTTAAATTAAAAAAATATAAAAAATTAAATATTTAATCAAGTAGGGGTAGAACTAAAGAATTATAAGTTTGTGTTCTCAAATTATTGATCTAATTACAATTTAAGTCATTTTAAGTTTAAATATTAGACAAATTAGAAGTTGTCTTTTGAATTTTGAGTTTTTTTTTTTAATTTAGGGTGAATACAATGTAATATCTATACAAATACTTTCAACTATTTGACATTGAATATCTATACCCCTACATACGTGCTTGAACTCGAGACCTCAAGGATAACAACAATCCCTTAGTCACTAAGGTCGTTTGGTTTAAGCTGAATTTCGATTTTAAATATTTAATAAGTATTTATATTTTCTTTAAATAATATAATATTTCAGCCCAGACCAATATTTAATTATGGCTTCGTCCATGCTTAACACGACATAATATTATAATTATCCATCATATATTTAGATGTGATTATAATAATACCTCTTTTATTTTATTTTTTTAATTAGATCTTTATTTTACCAAATAAAAATTATTTGATACAATGCTAAAAAGCACCCTGAACGTTTGATTAAATAATTATTTTGGTCCTTATTCTTTTGTTGAAACATTTTGGCCCTCCAACACTTCAGTTTAGAATAAGAAGGGCTCTATTTTGAAGTGTTGATCTTTGTTGACAAGTAATTTCCATCAATAGAGGAACCTTTTTGTCCCAAAATAATTTTTAAGGGCCAAAATATTTATAAAAAATAACAGAAGCGCGATTATTTAGTTAAACATTAAAGGTAGTTTTGCCATTATGTCAAATGATATATATATATATATTCAGGAAGGTGCGAGTACTAGTTTTGACCTAAAAAATTAGATTGTGTTTCGGATAAGATAGATTTTTTTTAAAAATTCACATCAAATCAAATACAAATGAGAAAATTTAATTTTTTAATGGAATTTGGATGAGCTAAAACCTCCATCACGGCCATCCCTAAAAGTTCCCTACTTCCTGCATTAAAAAGTTAACGCTACCGAAATATGTCAACAAACGTACACATCCAATACCCTGTGTTCCCCATAAGCAAATGAGGGAATTGACTGTCCCCATTACTCGTAGATGATCGCATATGCTAAAAACAAGGGCTTTGCCTTTCAAAATTCTCAGGAACTTCCAGAGTCTCAAAGGTCAGATGCAGTAAGCAGCATGGTGTACGAGGCTAGTGCGAGAATCCGGGACCCGGTTTACGGTTGCGCCGGAGCGATTTGTCATCTGCAAAAGCAAGTTAACGATCTTCAAGCACAAGTTGCCAAAGCTCAAGCCGAAGTGGTCAACATGCAGTTGCAGAAAGCCAACCTTGTGGCCTTACTTTGCATGGAGGCGGAGCAACCCCCGCCATCGCCTCATCCGACTTCCCTCGAATCCGTCGACGAGTTCATCCGCAGCCCAAGTTTCTTGGAAGGCAACAACTTAGAGTCATTATGGGAGCCCGAGGCTCTATGGACATGAAGATTGATGAAGCTCTATTAGCATGTTCTCAAATTATACAAGGTCCCATGAAACTTAAACTCCCCCAACTCTAAACCAATGGCTCCAAAGGAGGAGAAGTTGAAGGAGATTCTATTAGATAATAAATTTGAACTTAGTATTAGATGAAAGTATAGGATCTAATCACTTTGTTAAAGCTATGGCAAAGTAGATTCTCCTGTTTTTGAGTCAAATTCCATTCGGGTTTTTAAATCAATTTTTATCTCAAAAAAGGGTAAAATACATATTCAGTACCATAATTATCACTTTTGTTCCATTTTGGTCACTCGACTATTTTTTGTTTCAAAATTACACCTAACGTTACATTTTAATTTCATTTTGGTCATCCACCGTTAAAGAATTAACAGTGATGCTGACGTGTTACCATGAGATATTGCTATGTCATCATTGGAATTTTTAAATTTTTCACGTCGTCAGTTCTGTTAATTTTTTTAACAATGGGTGACCAAAATGAAATCAAAACATAACATTAGGTATGGTTTTGAAAAATATAATAGTTAGATGACCAAAGTAGAATAAAAATGATAACTAGAGTACTAAACATGCAATTTACCCTTGAAACAAATAAGACATGCTCTTAAATCAACTTCTTGTCCGTTTCTTTTCCATTACCTCTATTATTATGTCTTGTACTTTCGACTATATAATATTTTATTTTTTGTTTTCAGATCACTTAGTTTTTAATAATTTATATTATTATTTAACAAATTAATTATATAAATATAAAATTATATATGACCTTTTTATTGGGTGTTTGTATCCACAAAATTTTACTTTTAACTCAATTTTTATAATCGACTTCACATTATTTCATGTTTTATTATTGGGTAAATTACATAATTGATCACCTTCGTTTAAATTTTGTAAATTTTTTCTTATTGAATAAAAAAATTATATTTTGTCACTTTTATTTTAATTTAATTAAGGTTTGATCACTTTTATTTTTATTTAGTTAAAATTGGTCACTGGAATTTTAACGAATTACTGATGTGGCATAGTAAGTTTATAAAATTAAAAAGTGTAAACTACACAAATGATCACTAATATTTGAGTAAGTATTTGTTCCCCCATTGAAGTTTTAAAATAACAATTGGTCACTAAAACATCAAAAAGGTCATTGAACAATTATTTTATATCTAATTTATTCCAAAAGCTTTCTAATTTTTTGTTTATCATTCAAAATATTCGATTACTTCATGTCCAAAAAAGTTAATTTCTATTTTTTAAATTTTAAAAGCATATATATAAATATTGGAAAAAAATAGAAAGCTTATGGGGAAAATTAGATATAAAATCATTATTCAACGACATATTTGATGTTTCAATGATCAATTTGTTACTTTTGAAACTTTAGTGAGGAAAACGAAAAACTTACTCAAACATTAGTGACCATTTGTGTAGTTCACCCTTTTTAATTTTATAAATTCATTGTGTCACATCAACAATCTATTAAAAGTCTAACGGCTGTTAATCCTCAGTGACTATATCTTAATTAAGTAAAAACGAAAGCGAACAAATATTAATTAAATAAAAAACAAAATTGATCAAATGTTATGTGTTTTGAATACATTGAAAAAAATTACAAAACTTAAACGAAAGTGATCAATCGTGTAGTTTATCATTTATAATTTTATATATAAACAATTATATTTATTAGAAAATAATTACATATATAAAACAATATCATAAGTGAAGTTCTATGATACAACTTTACCTGCATAACATAGGATTAATTAAATACTCCAATGATTGTTTGATCATTTGAAGTAAATAAACAACATCCAAGAAGGAATGTTTTGAATAATATTAAGGCTTAATACAAAAATAAGTGTCCAAATTATATTATTTTTCTCATTTAGGTGCCTAATTTCTTTTGTTAGTAAAGGTGCCTAACGTTTCGAACGTTATATTTTCAGTTGTGTCGACCGTAACGCACGTTAAGTTCCGTCATTAAGTGACACGTATCATGCTCAGATAATTTTGAAAACTTTATTTTTTAAATAATTATAAACTTTTAAAATTTTATAAGGGCGACACGTGTCATTTAAGAGTAGAATTTAACAGCGATAACGATTCAGACACCTAAAAGTGTAATGTTGAAAACGTTAGACATATAAATTAATTGAAAAATAATTTAAACACCTAAATAAGAAAAAGTGTATAGATTTTCATCTTTTTAATCTCTTGTTTTTTCATACCTTTTGATTCTTCTAATTCCTATCTTAGAAATGATGATTATATAAAACTCATATAACACAAGCAATAAAAAGGTATTGTTGTTATTCATGAGGATTTGGGTTTGAATATCATAGATTCCAGGGGTATGAGCATTTAACGTTGAAATGTTGAGAGTTATCTTCGAATAAATACTGTCTTGTACTTACCTCGAATTATTCAAAAAAAAAACTCATATAACACAAGCAATAAAAAATTATTTACTTTTGCACGAATCAAATTAACTCAGTGGTTAAAGGAATCGTTGTTATTTGTAGATGTCACAAGTTCAAGTATCAACAATTGTAAGAGTAATTGAATGCTCATTGTCAAGTGATTGAGAGTACTTAGAACATATACTACTTTGTAATCACCTTAGCTTAATCAAAAAAAATATTTACTCTTAAATATTTTTTTAGGATAAACTAAAAGATTGATGACTTTTGTTTAAGTTTTGTACATTTTTCCTCACTGAATTAAAAAATTATAACATTTGGTCACTTTCGTTTTTATTTAATTAAGATATTGTCATTGATAGTTAACTGTCGTTAGACCTTTAACAGATTAATGATATGATACACTAAATATATAAAATAAAAAAGGGTAAATTATAGTAATTGTCACTAATGTTTAAGCAAATTTTCATTTTTCTCACTAAAATATATAGGGTTAGAACCAAATGCGGTATCTTTCAACACTCTTTTCACTTTTCACTGGCTACACTAAGGAAGGAAGGCCACATCATGGTTTTAGAGTGTTAAAGCTCGTGAAGGACAAAAAGTGCTTCCCCGATAGCATTAGTTACAACACCTTGTTGAATGGGTTTTTGAAATGGAGAAAAAAGAAGGGCATTGAATTCAAAGTTTATAAGGAAATGGTGGGAATTGGTTTTCAAGTGAAAGGAAAGATGATGAGCAGTCTGTTTAGAGGCTTCTGCATGAAGTTATGGGAATAAAAAGACCTGGTTGAAGATGCATACCAAGTGTTCGAGAAAATGCGGGAACGAGTTTTTGTGATCGGCCATACAGGTTATAGCTTTGTGGTTCGAGAAAATGGGGAGGCTTTGTACTATTTAATGCAAATGATCGGAATGGGATGCTTTCCAAGGACGATAACGTTCAACAATGTGATTCAATCAACATGTTGGCTTTATATATTTTAGTGAGGAAAAAATGGAAAATTTGTTTAAACATTAGTGTCATTTGTGTAATTTATCCTTTTTAATTTTATATATTCATTGTCTCATGTCAATAATCTATTAAAAGTCGCAGTTAACATTAAAAAGATCACATTTTAATTAGATAAGAATAAACTAAATGTTATATTTTTTAAAATTATGTGAATAAATGTATATAAAACTTAAACCAAAGTTATTAATCACATAGTTTATTTTATTTTTTAATATTTTATTTTTTTATTAAATTGAGATGATTAAAAGATTATATATGTTTTAAAGATTTTAAATCATTTAACGATAAACGCTTAAATACCTCTACAAACGCTGGTATTTAAACTCGAAACCTCTAAAAACAACAATATTCTATTTAGTCGCTGAGACATATTGGTTCATATTATATTCAATATGCGTAATACAAAAATAAGTGCCTAAAGAATGCTTCAAAAAACGTTTTGGTGCCTAAAGAGTTTTACGTTAAAAATAGGTACTTAAAGTTTTTTCTGTTATATTTTTAGGTATCTACCATTAAAAAGTCGTTAAGTGATACGTGTGACGTTTATATTTTTAAATAAAATACTAATTAAAAATTTTGGATGTGACACGTATCACTTAACGAGTTTTTTTAACGTTATGACCTAAAAATGTAACGGATAAAATTTTAGACACTTAATTTTAACGAAAAATTCTATATGCTCCAAAAATTAATTTTGAGTATAGTTTAGACACTTATTTTTATATTAAGCCTATTCAATAATTTCTTAATAAATTAATGATTGTTGGATGAATTTAAACTCAAACTTAGGAATGTGCCCTTTGGGGATCAACATTGTTTTTTGTTCATTTTGTTCATTTTTATTATATTTATGTATTCTTTACGTTTTAAAAGTGACTATACATTTTATTATAATTTTATAAATAAAAGATATTTAAAAATAGTGTCTTTTATTTAAAAATTCAATCTTAAATATATTTAATCTAAATGACCACAAATATTGTTAGGTCTCATGATAAAGAAAACAACTTTAATCATGTTCAAAATCATCAATTATGATGTAATTGAAATAATAGCATGGGTGAAAAATGGAACTATACTTTCTATTAATTAAATTCATATATAACATAATCGAAATAATTCAGAAAATAATTTCTTTATTTTAAAAAGTTAATTTTCTCTTGTTAGTGTGTCATTCATCCATTTTATTTTTCGTCTTTGTTGATTGACGGCGGCACCGACTTTAATGTTGGTTGTCGATCGTCGATATTCTTTATTGTCTTTTTTTTTCTTATATTGTATCTTTATTTTCTTTTATCTTTTAATTTTCAATAAGTCTTTGTTTATGTCACGTTTTATTATGCCTTTTGATATGCTTTACGGTGTTTTGCTATTTTTATTGATCTTTTTCTAAGGATTGATTTGACATCATCACAATTGATCAAGATGATACTTATTTGATATTTTGTTGATCTTCCATGCTTTGGACCATAGGATTGGATTTGGATACACGATTTATGCTCGTGGATAGCTTTTCACGTAGTTTGAGTATGATTTGTGATTTTTCGGTAGTCTTTCAATAGTTTGATCATTTTTTTTGATTCGTTTGTCGATGCAATCGAATCTGTTTGTATCTAAATTTGTTCGACTTTATGGGTTAGATTTTTTAATTTTTCCTTATCTAGTCCTTATATAATCTTAAGTTGCTAGTTTTATTTCAATGATTATAGGAAATTTTCCTATTTATGTTAGTGTGTCATTC